TGAAATGGCAGTCCCCCTTTGTCCCAGGCTGCATATACTAATTTCATAAAGGGTTTATATATTCTCTTGGTAAAAAGAAGAGGCATAGCCACAAAGAGCACACACACTCACATGCTCTGTATTGCTAATTACAATGCTTGATAAAGCACCTTTTTATTTTCTTCTCATATATTCTTGGCTGCGTTTCTTCATCTGATAGGCCCTATCCCTCACTTGTATGTAGTTACCATTTCCCTGTGAGACTGGCTTCACCCATATTTAGGCCCTCAGTAAGGCTTATTTAGTGGTTCACAGGTTATCCTTTTCCAAACACTTGCGCTGCATGACAGAGAGGGTGAAGTTTTGATTTTGTTTGGTTAACCTTTGACTGATGTTTGTACATAGTAAGCAGATTGGAATAAGGGATGGTTTGTCAGCTCTGGAATCCTGTGGGCTATTGCAAAATATGAGTCAATATTCGCAACAGTCTCTGTGACTGAAAAATTTGTGTAGGTTACAGTGTGTTCTAATGAACTAAAAACATTTATTAATTTTAAGCTCATGATTCATATAAGCACAGCATAAATAGGAAAAATTCCAAGTATTATGTATATTCACATTGAGTGATGATTTCTTGCTTTCACAACATCCATTATTATATATATATATAATATTATTATATTATATATATATGTTATATATATATATATATATTAATATATATAATATATATATATATTTAACCAACAGAGCAATAGGGCCTGGATTTGTTCTCAGCAGAGATATTTTTCTGGCAAGGCAGTGCAGCTGACTGCTCACTTGAATGTTTAAATTAATGCTCACTTATGCAGAAGTATGCCAACTACCGATGCATAAAACCAACTTCTGTATCACCTGTCTCTTATCTCATTCCCTAACATGGCCCAGCTTCACTTACTCTTTGAAATATTGGTGCTCTGTTTGACTACAGATAAGTATACATCCTTGCATCCCTGAACAGCTCTTTTCCTAGCTTAGAAGTTACAGCTTTCAGGTTTCCAATCTGCCTTCCATGGTGCAATCCTTTCTTTTACAAAACTCTTCATATATTATAAACTTTACTCATGCAACCCTCTGCTTAAAGCTATTTGCAGTCTGACAGTATTTTGCTACAGAGCAGAGAACACAAAAATGATGAGGCAACTTAAGTACCTCCTGTCCCACACCGAAAATGTGGTTTCTATCCAGGTTTTGATTTGGTGACATTCTACAGGAAACAAAGAAGATTGCAAATTGTTTTTCTTTTATTTTTCTGCCGAATTTCATTGAAGTTCTTTTTCTTGTCCACTGCCATCCAACTTCTCAGAAACTGTAGGAAGTCATTCCAGGACCTTTAGGAAAAAGATTCTTAAAAGATTTTTTTTTTGTTAGTTATGCTGGAAGAAATACTGTAACAGTAATAAGATCAATAGAAGTAGAGAATTTTTCCTTCTTGGGGATTTTAAGATTGCTATCTCCATGCATTTGGGGTAAGTAGAGAAGCAAAGGTGTAGCAAATGAGAAGAGTGCTCAAAGGTTTCATTTGTGTAGCCATCTCAAAAACACAATTTGAAGAGTTGGAGCAAATGCAAGTCATGTTTTGGCATGGAATCTAGGAGGAAGAACAGTCTTGAAAGGCATAGCCTGTGCTGATTATGGGATGGTGTTGCTGGCAGGGCTGTGCTGCTCACATTTCATGCATGCTGGGGTTTGGTAGCTAAAATTATTATTTAAAGACAGCCTTTCACCTTAATCAAGTTTTAAAAATTGTTTCCTTATTTATTCAAGGAACTTTATCAGTGCTTATTATAACAAGCTTGGCAAAGTGTGGAAAAATACAGGTTTTGTCTATTCTGTGTTTTCTAGAAGTTTGAAATTGTAATATGAACCTAACTTGACACAAAATTGATTTTCACAGTCTAAAGGAAGATTATGGGATATATAATATTCTTTGTGCAGTACGCAGCAAAAGGATCATATATGCGTGATTTAAAAGGTTATCAGCCTCTCAAATATTCCCTGTAAGTTCAGTAAGTCTGTTTGCATATATCCAGCTAAATATAGCACTTGTGGGGTGTGTATATATGTGTACATATATGTATATAACTTTGTAGATGAGCACGTAAAATGCCATCTTTGAAATTTCTTAAGCATATATATCTGCCAATCTATGGAGGATTTCCAATTTCTCTCTCTCTTAGCAAGAGAATCAACTCAGATTGACCTACTGTCTTATGCATACAGTTCCATCATCAGACTAAAAAGCAAGAATAACATCACATGAATCACTGGAAATAAAACAAAACAAACATAAGAGATTGCAGTGTAAACTCAGTTCTGTTCCTTCTGGTGTATCTAAAATAAATAATCTCCCACTTGGCAAATAGTTAGGTGTGCAGGAGTTCCCTTCAAGGTAGCTTGCCATGACTCACGTGCATAAAATAAAACAGAGACCGCCACGCGGAGGGCTTGTTTATTGAATTCCCCTGATGGCTACATCTGTGCTGGGAATGGGCAGCCCTTGTACACATTGAAGCCCTCAAAACTCAGCCTAGAAAAACATTTTCCCCATAGACATAATTGTTTTTTTGTCAGGAGTAGTGCAGTGGAGCACTTTTGTGAGAACTGTAACCAGAAAGTGCTCTGCACAGGTGGTTGCACTGATAGATATTATTCAGTAAGGATAAATACAGAAGGAGCGTAAGCCAAATTATGCGTCATCATGTTTGTGATTAACCTGCATTTCCAGGTTGCTTTTCAAAGGGTGAAATAGTTTAGGATGCTTATGTTGAGCAATCCTTTGTCTTTCTATATAACATACAGCTAGGAGATTCCCCTTTTGAGTGACAGATAATACAGCAAGCAGTCCAACTATTGTGTTATTATTTGCAATGATGCTACTGGGGAACGAAGTAAAACAGAGAAAATTGCTTTTCTTTTTTTTCTTTTCTTTTTGTTTCCCTGAAATTGATTTTCCTACATGCAGTGCTGAAATATCTGCTGTTTCAACGCATTCTAAAGGCCCAGTCCTGTAAAACCCCTCTCCACATTCCTGCACTGCAGCAAGATTCCACACCTGTGTCCCGCACTAACGCCCGAGGGCCCAGGCCCTGTGCACACACATGCATTAGTCATTGCATTGAGCCCAATAGGGGGGTGACCTGCTGACATGACCGCACCAGGAATGAACAATGCCTTATTCTTGCGGCAGTGCTACAAACACAGGCAACAAACACATCTAGCATTGCAGCCATGAGCTGAAAGACAGAGCCAATGGGTAGGCAACTTTATTCTACGGTATAGGCAAATTAGAGGGAAGAAGGATTAGCAAATCTTAATGGTGGGACAGTTTTTGGACGTTTTTTTTTTTTTAAGGGAATAAACCAATAATCAAACAGCAGCGAGTGTGTATTTAAAATGATCACCAAAGCACTTCTTAGAAGCATTTTCTGAGAAAGTCTGATTGGCACATTATATTGCTACATACTTTTACATTTTAAAACAAATCTACTTAACTTCAGAGAATGGCAGCGTCATCTGGGGGTTACAGGGAGTATATTTGCTTACATGTCTTCAAAATGGGAAAAAAGCATGTTTTACCTAACTTCATGGAATGTCTTGAAACTGTCAGAAGATATGAACAGTAAATACCTCCCTGCCTTTCTTTTCTTTAGACAGTCCAAACTTTGTCACAACATCAGAATGGCAGCTTGTGCTAGCTGCAGCCACACAATAGCTCCTTACTAACTGTATTGGAAGTCTAGTTTTTACCAGTTCATACAAAGAATATAAATACAATATTCAAATGCAATATTTTATGTCCCCATAATTTTTAATGAATGTTGAATAAAATGGGCTTTCTCAGCATCAATCTAAACTCTGAAAAGAGTGTTTTTCAACCTTAAACTTTCCTGCGTATTTACATCTCTATTCTGTGTCTTTCTAACACTCAGCTCTGTGCCATGGTTAATAATCTTTTCTCCTTTTTCATTCTATGTGTGCTGATTCTGTGTGTATCATAGCAGCTAATTACCAGCTTCAGTAGTTAAAAGGAAACGAACTCAGAAAATGAAAATAAGGGTTAGGTAGGAGATTAGGAAAAAATTCTTCACCAGAGGTGGCTGGGCTCTCTTTTCCTTGCTGCAGGAAGCACAAGTCAACTGCCAGGCAATGTAAAAGGGAGCACTGAGTATGTTCCAGGCCAGAGCTGGGCTGCAAATCCACCTCATGGAAATGATGGAGGAAGCCTAAGCCCACGTGTGAAAACAGGACCTGGGGGGACAGTTTCACTGTAGATGAAAATATTTAGGTTTTTTGTAACAATGTGTTCATAAAAAGCATTTATTCTGCTCAGATTATTTGGTCTTTAGCTTGTAGAATAGTACCTGTGTGGAAAAAAATCAAAGCTGTATGAATGAAGCTCAGTCCTGCAAAGTTATCATATAAATCACTCATGATTAAGTAGATTTTGTGCCTAGCCAATATATTTTCAAAAGAGAATTTTGCATGAATCTCCAGTAATGACAGTGCTTTAAAACAATATACTCACTCTGGGGTAGTAAGCCTCACATTCATTGCAGCAAAGAGCAAATGGTCTTTTTATTTCCATTTCCCAGGAGTAGAGATATACGTGGGGTGAAGAGTTTTCTGAAGGTCAAGTACAATATAGCAGAGCTGGTATTAAAATAGGAGTTTTTCCAGTCCTGTTCCTATACTTGAGGCACTTCATATTGCTATGTCAGTTGTACTTTTATTCTCATAAAAATGATTTTTTTATGACAAGAATGTTAAAGTGCAAAATATCTATAAACATTAATGTATAATTATTTTTGTGTCCTACTATCTATAAACTGAGTCTCAGTACGTGAATACATACCTGCATCATTCTAATTCACAAAGAGAAGGAATTGTTCTTTATAGTTTTACTTAAACAAGAAAAAATGGATGTGCTTCCTTTTCAACAAGCATCCTTTTCTAATGTACTTAATAATTCTGTGTTTCAGAGCAGTGCACAGATAGTGACTTATCTTCCCGAGGAGAATGAACGAGATGTCAGTTTGGAACTATTCCTGGAATTACACCAGCATGAGGTCTCCTCTACCAATCTAAGGCAATACTACTGAAATGCAAGAAGTCCAAAGTGATCTATGTCCAGCTGACCATGCACCGACAGTGTCAAGCCTGGCAAACGTTCTATATGCCTGCACTCAAAAGGAGAAGGAGAATGGGTACCCCCTGGGACATTGCTTCACAAGGCATTGCAGACACACATTTCTCTCTGAGGAGTATTTATTCAGCGGAACAGAAGCTTCTCTAGCAGGTGGACATGTTTACTAATAATGCTAGACCAGAATTCTGCTCCCATGAAGCACCTTCTTGAGGTCACTGTGAAGAATAGCTAGGTAGTTTTTATCCACCAACACAGCATAACAGCAAATACAGCAGCACTGAAATCCTGCTTTCCTTGAACATGGAGCGCACCAGAGAAGGTTTCAGTTGCAATCATTTTGCATCAGGATGAGTCTGATCTAAAACGAGGGCGGAAGCAGCCCTACTGGGATTTGTTCACATGAGTAAGTCAAGTAGGATTTGCCAAGCGATATGCATGAAAACTAATTTGCTTACTGGAATATTCTTTTGAAGTGTTTTCTTTAAATGATTGCAGCTCAAAAGCAGCAGAAAATTTATCCAGGTCTGAGGTATGTCTGCCTCATTCTGCTTTCTTAATGTTGCATCAATTATGTATGCCCTTGTCACTTTGGATAACAGCCTGGATAGATACTAATTGAAGATATTAATGATTATGTAATGACTTTCACTAATTATTTTTCTCTTTCAAGTATTTTAAAAAATTGATTTTGTTGACAATAGTATGCTATGATGAATGGTTGTTAAAATGTCTCTGGTGCAAAATGAAATACATTTCTGCAATAATTTCAATTATACCAAGTCAGGACAATTTTAATAATATTATGGGTAGATTACACTTTTTTTTTTTTTTTGCCTTTTTGGGAGTGGGAATATCTTTCATATTTACTATTATTCATTAAAAACCTCCGTAAATGCAATCAAATTATTGTAAAAAAAACCACATTTAAAGATCCTGAAACATACTGTAAATGACACCAATCCTTCGTGTTCAGAAACTTCAGAAGTTTGTCTTGATTTCAATGTGAGCTCTGTAAATCATTTGCTGAAATATATAAATATATATATATATATTTGTTTAAGAAAAAAGCTTGAACAAAGATTTTTTTTCAACTTTATCACATATTTCATCTAGCTATCAAAAACTCATTAACACAAATTCAATGAACGTCTTAGTACTCGGGAGAATTATGGTTTCTTAACATCTGTTAAAGACACATGTTGCTGCATTTTCTAAAAACTGTCTTGGTTTCATTCTTGTTGCCAATCTGAAGTGCATCACAGTGCATATATACAGTGCCCATTATTAAAGAGGAATTACACACATAAATGAAAAAAAAATATTTATACAATATATGTATATATATATATACAATAAATGTGCCTATATAGGCACATTTCCCTCTAATTTCTAGTGGCCTCTTCTAGAAGTAAATTAACAACTTACACTGTTCTAATGAATGTGCCTAAAGAGTACATTATTCTGTAACACAAATGCCTTGACAATTTCTTATGTCATTTAAGCAGCATTGTACATATTTAAATTCAATCAAATACTTGATCTCTTCAGTATTTTTAATTACAGCACTACTCTTATTTCGTGAAAGTGCTAATGAGATCTCAGACTGATTTTGGTGATCTGTTCTTATATATGTGTAGCTTAATGGTCTTCTACAGTACAATAATGGAAACAGTATTATAACTAGAACATAGTAAAATACAGTCACTACAAAACAAAACAAAACAAAAAACAGAAATCAAAAAACAAAGAAAAGCCTTTTGAAAAACAGTGAGTACCTTCATTTAAGTACAGAGAACAGACAGGAATACAGATTTCCTTGCTGTGCTGCACGACTGCTCCTCAGGTGCAGCTTTGCTGAAGTCTCATGTAAATGGCCCTATCTGAACTCTTGGGGATGCAGCGAAAACCACCATGATAACCAGTAGCATTGTGTTTGCCTTAAGTCTTCCTAAAAACAGCTTGTGTCCGTTTGAGCTGACTTGGATCAGTAAGAGGCCTGGAGTTAATGTGGTATCTTTTCATCTTCTGAAGAATGGAGATTTTATGATAAAATGCCAACAGATATTTTGATAAAATAGGTCCAGGACTAGCTGCTGTTACTTCCAGACTTTTTTTTTCTGTGCGTCCTACTGAATCTTGAGCATTTCTTTGCAATGTTTTATGTTTTGAGCAGGAGTAAAGCTGTTTCTCACCCAGGTATAGTCCATTCCTGGTGGCTGGGATCTTTCTCTGCAGAGATAAGACATAGAGGTAGCTCTTAATAGGAACAAGTGATAGGATTTAGGCAGAATTTAACTGACGGGGTTCAGGACAGTCATGTACTTCATTATTGCAATGTAACTCACTGGATTTCACATCAGGATCTGTCATAGAATCATAGAATCACCAAGATTGGAAAAGACCTAAAAGATCACCCAGTCCAACCATTCACCTATTCCCAATAGCTCCTACTAAACCATGTTCCTCAACACAGCATCCAGCCTTTCCTTGAACACCCCCAGGCTCGGTGACTCCACCACTCCCTGGGCATCCATTCCAGTGCCTGACCACCCTTTCTGAAAAGCAATACTTCCTCATGTCCAGCCTGAATCTCCCCTGCCGTAGCTTGAAGCCATTCCCCCTGGTCCTATCACTGATGACACGAGAGAAGAGGCCGACCCCCAGCTCACTACAGCCTCCCTTCAGGAAGTTATAGAGAGCAATGAGGTCTCCCCTGAGCCTCCTCTTCTCCAGGCTGAACATTCCCAGCTCCTTCAGCCTCTCCTCATAAGCCCTGTGTTCCAGACCCCTCACCAGCTTTGTTGCCCTCCTTTGAACACGTTCCAGGGCCTCAATATCTTCCTTGCAGTGAAGGCCCAAAACTGGACACAGTACTCGAGGTGCGGCCTCACCAGTGCTGAATACAGGGGAACAATCACCTCTCTGCTCCTGCTGCCAACACCGTTTCTGATGCCAGCCAGGATGCCATTGGCCTTCTTGGCCACCTGGGCACACTGTCGGCTCATGTTCAGCCAGGCATCAATCAATACCCCCAGGTCCATTTCCTCTACGCAGTCCTACAGCCACACCGCCCCAAGCCTGTAGCGTCGCCTGGGGTTGTTGTAGCCGAAGTGCAGGACCTGGCATTTGGCCTTGTTGAAACTCATCCCACTGGCTTCAGCCCAGCTCTCCAGCCTGTCCAGATCCCTCTGTAGGGCCTCGCTACCCCCAGGCAGATCCACACTTCCAGCCAATTTGGTGTCATCTGCGAAGTTACTGAGGGTGCACTCGATGCCTTCATCGAGGTCATCAATAAAGATATTGAAGAGGACAGGCCCCAGCACCGAGCCCTGGGGAACACCACTCATGACCGGTCGCCAGCTGGATTTGACTCCATTCACCACCACTCTCTGTGCCTGGCCCTCCAGCCAGCTCCTTACCCAGCCAAGAGTGCACCCATCCAAGCCTCGGGCTGCCAGCTTCTGCAGGAGAATGCTGTGGGAGACAGTGTCAAAGGCTTTGCTGAAGTCTAGGTAGACCACATCAACAGCCTTTCCCTCATCCACCAGATGGGTCACTAGATCATAGAAGGAGATCAGGTTGGTCAAACAGGACCTGCCCTTCATGAACCCATGCTGGCTAGGCCTGATCCCCCGGTCACCCTGCACATGCCGCATGATCTCCCACAAGACAATCTGCTCCATAACCTTCCCTGGCACCGAGGTCAGGCTGACAGGCCTGTAGTTCCCCGGATCCTCCTTACGACCTTTCTTATAAATGGGAGTCACAGTGTCCAGTAAGTGTCAAGTGTCAAGTAAGTCTGGTGGTGAATTAATGATAGATGTGTGTGTAGAGAATCAAATATATCTGCAAAGGGATATTATTTTAAAAGCAAGTTTGCTGAGCAAAGTTCTGTTCTTCCTAGTGGTGACATAAGCAGCATCTTCTGCTGGCGTGCTGCCACCACCTCCACGATCTACCACATTTTGCTTGTAAGCTTCATTAATGAAATTAAATGGTCCCATGATGAAATGGCCTCTTCTGTATTTAGTAACACATTTTAGTAGCCAGGATGAAAGCAAGGTTAAGCATGAATCAGAGGTAATCCCAAATGCCTTTTTCTTGTATATTTTCACATTATAACCAAATTTTTAATTTTAATTCTCTAATCAGTTATACTTGGCACTGTCAGCCAAACTCCTATCAGTCTTGGAAGGTGTACATGTTACGTGAACAATGACTCCCTTTTGTCATCATTTTATGGAAAAAGAGATAGTGTGCATTAATATATGTGTAAAGACCTTGGAATGCTCTAAGTTTGAAAGTTCTTACTAAGTCCATGTAGCAAAAGTTTCATTAGAAGAGAATTGTGCAGTTGAGCTTTTGAAGTGTAAGAATTAAAGTATCCTTTGAAATCCTTACGATGTTATCACATACAGTTCTCACTTACTCAATGAATGGAGGTGGAAGATAAGATCTTCAAAGGTGTAATGTACTGCACATAAATGGAGTCACCAATAATTGAATTTGGGCACCTTCTGTACATAATGGACAGGGCAGTGAGATCACCAGGCTCTATTCCTGTTACTGTGCCCTTGAGATGTGCTGTGACCCTGCCTGGATTCCTTCTGTAAATGGACAGGATTAAACTTTTGCAACTTCAAGGAAATTTCACTTGAAAAGTGGATATCTATTTTCTATCTGTAAAGGTAGTGATAGGGATTAATATATAAGCAGTAAACTACAGGGGCTATGAAATAAGCAGAAGTCTTCTGATCGTGGTAGAAAAGAAGGGAATGGACTCTTTTTCTCCCCTGAATCACGACCAGATGTGCTTTCCTTTTGTAAACATCTTTTGTAACATCTTTGTCAGAGACAGGCATAGTGGAATTGGGTACACCACCAGCAAGACTGCTGATGACACACAGCTGAAAGTTGTGATTGAAATGCAGGAGGGAAGAGATACCATTCAGAGACACCTGGACAGGCTTGAGAGGTGGGCCTTCGTGGGGTTTAGTAAGGCCAATTGGAAGGTGCTGAACCCGAATTGAGGCAGTCTCAAGCAGAGATACAGCCTGGCTGATGAGTGACTTGAGAGCAGCCCTAAGAAGAAGGACTGGTGGGGTTCTGGTAGATGTAAAGCTGCACACAATCCATCAGTGTACATTACCAGCTTGAAAGGTCAGCAGTATCCTGAACTGTATCAAAGGAGGGGTGGCCAGAAGTGACAGGGAAGTGATTGTTCTCTCTTCTCTGACATTGTGTGGTCCCATATGCAGTACTGTGTCCAGGCCTGGGGCCTCCAACACAAGAAAGATAAGGAGTTGTTGGAACAGGTCCACAGGGAAGGCTATTAAGATGATTAGAGGGCAGGAGCAACTCTCTTATGTAGAAAAGCTGAAGGAGCTTGGCTTGCTCAATCTGGAGAAGAGAAGGCTCTGAGGTGCTCTTATTGCAGCCTTCTTGAAGTGGGTCTACAAAAAAACTAAAGAGTGTAGTGGTAGGAAAATAGGTAATTGTTTTAAAGGAAAGCTTTAGATTAGACATTTGAAAGAAACTCCTTGCATAGAGTGTGTTGGGACACTAGAACAGATTGCCCAGAGAGTTATGATGGGAGTTGGACACGATAACCATTAAGGTCCCTTCTAATACAAACCATTTCATGATTCTATAATTGTATGAAATCAACATTCTAAAGTTTGTATTGTGCTTCTTCTCCCCTTTAGATGATCTATATAATTCTCTTCACTATACAGGGAATGCTATAAATATTAATGTATGTATAGAAGAATAGAGAAGACAGCATCTGGTGCATTTTTAAGCATGGGGCAGCATGTCTCTTTCACCAGCTGCGTGCAGGATGTTCACTGGTGAAAGGCTGGAGGGATAGACTGATATCCTCAGCCGCCAAGGGGAGTGCCAAAACATCCTTCCTACAGTAGGCTTTAGGATACCTTTCGTGTTGAAAGGATTTCCAAAATAAGTTGGGTGAGAATATGGTCTGTGCATCTCTCAATAGGTGAAGAAATATCACAGTGTTTGAATTATGATAGGCTGAGTTCTTCTCTCAGTTGCTTACATGTTTACGCACATGCTGATTTTATTTTGACTGAAAACTGCTCCTGTAAACTCTGGTTCTAATACTTGAGTTTGATAGTATTTCACCTTCATAGGAAGAATTGCTAAGGTGAGATCTGGAATGACTTTGGCACTTCAGACCAAAAGTCTGCAAAAATAGCCTTTTATGGTAGGATGAGAAACATATTTGTACTTCCTAGGGGGACATCAGAGGAAGGAGGTCATTA